ATAAGTACTGAATAGATAGGGATTAGTAGAGATAGTTAGGGAACAGTTGGCAGACATTGGAGTCATTTATTTGAATTATTATTGCGATACTCTATTGTATAATAAAATTATGGCATAAAATTAGCTTCACTTGAATTAGAGGAGAAAAAATCAAAACTCCTTTTTTAAGTCGTTTTCTCCTCGTTTTTTGAAACGACAATAATTGCAATCATTTATAAACTGCCGGGATTTTATTTGCGAGATAATTGTTTCGTTGAGTTATTAATGTTAAACATCTTTTCATCGCATAATTCCTATGCTTTGATTAATTTCTCAGGAATTATGAGATTTAAGTACAATGAATGCAAAACTGAAAATCGATACATAAGTTATTTCTTAAGAAATATATACTTAACTTAACATAAATTATTAGTCATAAATTACTACAATTAACTTTTAATAAATTTAAACTAATTATGACACCACTCGTAATTCAATGAAGATTTAAATCATTTTAAAAACTGTTAGTTACTAAAATAATTTATTGTTATTTTGCAAAACAATAGAAAATAATTAACACCGTTTTAATAAATTACTAAACGGGTTATTTCAATGTTATAAAGTGCTATCATTAACAATATTATACTCATTATGTTATACCACTCGATATAATCATCTCATTAACTATTCTAAAGAAATTTTTTGATACAAAATTAATTTTTCAATTTGAATATCAAAAAGAGTAAGATTGACTTTAATTTGTCAATAAAATTATGCAAACAATACAGTATCTCACGAAAATTATTAAGAAAGCACTTTACGATACATTAAATAATTTGTAAATTTATCAAAGAACAATTTACATTTTATGTAAATATACCATACACATTTTTACAAACAATCAATTATTTGCTAATATTTATTAGATTTTTAGATAATAAACTAAATTATTAATAAATTATAAAGTACTAAACTTTAAAATCAATTAACTAGTTACCGGATTAAATTCTAAACAATTCGCATTACATAGTTTATTTAAGGTAAAAATCTTTATAAATATCAAGCAACTAAAATAAACAGTAAATATTTTATTTCTATATATTTGAATTATTGTAAAGATAAAAATATAATTGCAATAAAACACTCACCAAACGCATTGAGTAAATACAATAGTGATGTGAAAAGTGTGACAAAGATTTGGTGGAGACTTTTGGAGTGGAAGTGCTCTCCAGAAGTTGTAGCGACGGTTTGCTATGATGTGAGTCGTGATGTATAAGTGTAGGGAAACTGTTAGATAAAGGGATGAATGAGAGAGCATGTGCTGAACACATCCATAGGCTCTCCCATTGAATCACTCGATCCCATACAATATATTTAAGGATTTACGCTCTCAATCATTACAAACCCTTTTTTGTATGGATTCTTAAAGCAGTCATCCTTTTGACCGCAACTAAAGTCATACAAATGATCAAAACATTTTTCACATCAATAAGTTAGTCTAATTAAGTATACATTCAAGAATTTATTTAGATTAAAAATTCTTGAAATTCATTGTATAGTAAAATACTAGAAACACAAACAAAAATCGATAGGAATGAAGTATACGAGAAGTGATGGATTTGTTGAAAGTTTTACAATACAAATATCGACACATTTATCAGTTTTAGATATAGAATTGAATTATGAGACTATAAATAGGAGTTGAGAGACACAGAGATATAGTGTTTGATTAACTTATTCTGTCAACTATTCTGCAATTTTTTGTTTTAGTTATCTGTTATGATGCGAATCGAAATAATTTATAAATTAAATGCTTTTCACAGAAACCTAACAAATGATTGTAAAACTACCATTACTACTGGTAGTACAGTATACATTGCTATATCTAGTATACAATATGGCTCTAAATATTAAAGTTGTCAATAAGTTTAATGCTGACAATTCTTTTATTTAACGCAATCTTTTTAATATTTCTATCGCTGAAAGCGATTCAATTGATCAACACAACAGCTATTATATAAGGGGCCATATATTATATCCATCAAATAAACGACATTTTTATATCATTTAAAATCAAATGCCATATAGAAAATCATTATTTCCAACATTTGTAGACAAAGCATCAATTATATTTATTAAATTTAATCTTTTAACCAAAAATTTATAAATGAAAAATTCATATTTACATGTATATATTATTTTTGATAAGCAAATATTAAATTATTGATTAATTTCATAATGCTAATCTGTCAACTGTATATTAAATCACGAATATTTATTAAATTAAAGCAAAATCATTTGTAATGTGTATTTATGAAAATATATTTGTTTAATAAATGAATTGCTCAAATAATAGCATAGTTTATTGGAAATCAATTCATATATTATTAATGTTATATTTTTTGTTAATGTTAATAAGAATAGCGCAGATGTTTTGCCAAAAAATATAGGATTCTTTTGATATGATTTTCAAAATTTCAATACATTCTCAACAGAATCCGAAACAAAATTTTAAATTCAAATACCAATTCATTACCGTATAATTTATTCCTTTATCATTTGTATTGAATAAATGGTTTCAAATCTTTTGATATCTTAGTTTAAAGTACAGAAACCAAAATAACAATTATAAAAATAGTGTATTTATATTAGTGTAATAAATTGCATTTTTCTATCCAATATCAAATCAAGTTAACTTTTTCTAATAAATTTCCAAACTTTATTTCCAACATAATTAACTAATTTAAATGTTAGATATTCTTATTTAATTTGTAAATACTTTTGTATGAACATATTTGAATATTAAGTAGTTTGCTATCCGATACGTTTAATGTGAATGTGATCTGCTTTAGTAAGATCTTTGAGATAGTTTTATGGAAAAAACCTTTTTTTTGGTAAACATATGTTCTGTATTAACTTGTATTTATTATACTCTTTTTTAATCTCAATGATACCCAGCAATCAATTCAATATCAAAGAGACTATTTCTTATCCCTTTTCTTACTCTTAACTTTTATGCAAGTCTTTTCGTGGCTTTATTACCAAAATATTGAAACTTTTGGTTCGCTTAGGCTATTAATGCTGAAATAAATTCATTCTTAAAGCTAATGATGAACTCTCTCTCTCTCTCTCTCTCTCTCTCTCTCTCTCTCTCTGCCTGACATTTCTTATATAATACTTCATGTTTAAGGGTTTTATCGAATGAAGACTTTGAAGCATTTTTCTATCCAATATCAAATCAAGTTAACTTTTTCTAATAAATTTCCAAACTTTATTTCCAACATAATTAACTAATTTAAATGTTAGATATTCTTATTTAATTTGTAAATACTTTTGTATGAAGATATTTGAATATTAAGTAGTTTGCTATCCGAAACGCTTAATGTGAATGTGATCTGCTTTAGCAAAGAGTTTGAGATAGTTTTATGGGAAAAAACCTTTTTTTGGTAAAGATATGTCTTGTATTAACTTGTATTTATTATACTCTTTTTTAATCTCAATGATACCCAGCAATCAATTCAATATCAAAGAGGCTATTTCTTATCCCTTTTCTTACTCTTAACTCTTATGCAAGTCTTTTCGTGGCTTTATTACCAAAATATTGAAACTTTTGGTTCGTTTAGGCTATTAGTGCTGAAATAAATTCATTCTTAAAGCTAATGATGAACTCTCTCTCTCTCTCTCTCTCTCTCTCTCTCTCTGCCTGACATTTCTTATATAATACTTCATGTTTAAGGGTTTTATCGAATGAAGACTTTGACTGATTTTAGATTTTTTGGCACAAATTAGAGTAAGAGTTTAGTCTTTGAAAATAGTTGAGTGCTTTGCAAACATAGCTCTCAATTGGAAGTCAACTTTTCGATCGATATTAACAGTTGTGTTCAACATTCACTCCAAATCTTGTACAATATTTGCCCAATAATTGACAGTTTTGCTAAACTTTTTTCGACTAGGATTAAGATAATTCGTATTTAAATATTCACTAATAATTTTAGTCATTAACTAAATTCTTGCATAAAATCTGTTTACCCTTTGAATTTCAAATCATTGCAAACCTATAATATCATAATCTTAATTGCATTCCGTATCTGTGTTGCATTATATAATTTCTCAACATAGTTATAGTTTATACTTATCTAACAATCAAATAGATATCTCTTAATAACTTATTGCTATAAATAATTACTTTACAAAATAAAACCAGAAAATATTGCCTTTAATGGGAACTTTATACAAAATCATTTTGAAATTTAAGCTAATACAGTACTGTATATTATTCAGTAATGTACTGTATATTTACAGTAATAATTACTCTGGTATTTCTAACTCTGATTTGTGAACATTATAATTAAGTTATTCAACATCACTTCCCGTTTAAAATCAATAATCAAATTAAGTGTCATTTATCAAATACTTGATCTCAAATGTCACAAACCTCCAAACCATATAAAGGTAAAAGTGTGAAATCAGATAAATCGCATGTTTTGCTTAGAAATGCATCATTTTATTACAATTATAATCAAAATGTTTTCCAATTAATGGCTATCTTTATAACAATTTTGAAATTTACAATAAAGTAATTCACTTTAGAAATACGATAAAACCAAAGGCCAGGAGCGAAACTTCATGCAGAGAGCACCGGCAGTATTATACAAAAATCATAACTTTTATGTATTATTAATCGTTTTAATTAAATCCAAATCAGAGAATAGATTCGCATATAATTACTTACATATAATTACTGAAAATATATAAATGTCTCGTAAATAAGTCGTTTGAAACTCAATACAATTGTTAATTAAATTTATATTATAATACAAAATGTCTTTAATTAGACTTTAAATTAAAGAATATTTATATCAATCAATATTGCAATTCATGTCATAAATCGAGAGCAAAAAAAACAAATACAAAAATCAAGAGTTAAGAAATACAATTGAAAACTAAATATTAGTGTCTTTCGTAGGCAATAGAAATGTGATAATCGATGGTAAGGTGTCTCTGCGGGGGCCGGGAGCCTATCATAACGGGTCGAGCATCGACTCGGAAAAGGCGCCCAAATTTCCCAAATGACTTAAACTCGTCTGAATGTGGTTCACGTGTATCTCCACCTCATTCTCGTACTGATCCACATTAGACGTGTCTAACATCTTGCGTATGTCTGTCAGTGTGTCGGAGAGCGACTTGAGCTCATAGGCGGACACCTCGGAGTCGGCGAACCCTCTGAGGTGTAGCATAAGTGAGAGCAAATGCGATATCAAATCGATGGTCGGCTCGCTCTTCACGGAACAATTGGCCAAATTTCGTTCAACCAATTCCTTGGATTCGACCAAATATTTCTGTTTCACGACATCGGGCTGCGCGATGGGCGCCAACCCCTGCTCCGGCGCTATCTCCGCGCTGTACTGCTGGACGGCCTTCAAGTACTCATTCAAATCGGTGTTCAGTTTCTCCAACTCGAGGATCGTCTGCGCGTAATGTTTCTGGAAGTCGTGCGAAATGGTCTCCTGAAGGCTGCGACTCCGCTCGGCCTCTGTGTTCATAGCCTTCAGTTCTGTGATCTTCTTCTTCTTGAACTGAAGTATTTTCGACAAACGCACCAAAAGTGCCAAAAACTTTATGGGAAAGCCACCCAACGTTCCCTCCTCTTGCATGTGTCCGCCACGAGAGGCTCCGCCGTCGACACCTCCTTCGCGTTTGGGCGGTGAGGGGCCGGCCAGCAGTGGATCGTTATCTCCCAACGCCTGCGCGACCTGATTGCCCAACAGCTCCAGAAAGCGGGGGGACGTAAACATCGGCAGTCGTGGCCTCACTTTCGTCTGAAACGAGTTCAGTGGTATGAACTCCGGGGTATCGTTGGACAGCACCTCGTAGTCGGGCATAGAGTGGGTGCCAATGCCGGAGCGATCGAACGTCAACCTATAGGTGCCGTTCGTGGCGTCCACCGCGTCGATCACACCCGTGAAGAGGCCGTCCTGTGGCTTACGCAACAAACCGGTCACTTTGGTGCCGATCACCAGCGAAAGGGGTATATTCTCCGGCAGATCCTTGTATTGGCTGAAGTCCACCACCTTTTGCTGCTGCAGATGTCGTATTTTGTTGCGTTTGGCGTTCAGTGACGCTCTCTCTTCGGCGAAGAAGGCGGCCGAACAGCGCCGGGGTTTACCCATTAGGCGCCGGATTTTGCACCACTGGACCCGCGCCAGCGATCGGGTCTTCAGGTGGGGGAACGACTCCTTCAAACAGATCCCGAAGTCGTTTTGGCCCAAAAACAACGGCTGATCGATATTGGCGTAGAACCACTCAAAGCACACCCACTTGTGAGCCTTCGGCAGCTTCAGGAGCGTCCGGAGCCGGAGGCCCACCCTCTGCGCCACCTTCTTGTCCAACGGGCCCAACGGTCGGCCGACTGCGGGCGACGAGTGGGTCGTCGGTCCAGTGGTGGCCAAGCGTTGGCTCTTTCGCTGCAACGGCTGCCCAATGGACGGCGTCTGCGGCGGCGGTCGCGCCGTGAACTGAGTCTCTTCGTCCTCATTATAGATCAATCGGTTCCTCTTGCGAGCCCTCATCGGGTGTCCCGCCCGTCGCGACGGACTCAACGCGTCGGCCATTCGTAGCCACGGATCAACTGATTGATAGTCCGGTGAAGTGTTTGCGAACAACACTTCAAACACTTTAAACTCTGTCCGCCATTTCAACAAACATTTCGTATGCATACAGATGTGTGGCGCGTGTTGTTCGCGACGAGCCATACATTGCCAAAGCGTTATGTCTACAGAAATTTCTGCGCGATTCTAATCAGTCATCTCATTGGCTGCGGCTGTTACTGGAGGCAGTGCGCGGCGTGTCGTACAGTATGCGCGCTATTCTTGTAGACAATATGCGTTGAAAGATACTACAAATATGAACAAAAACTTTCGTTTTTACTTGTCTTTTGCTTTTGTAATGAAAGCCTATGTTTACGACCAGTGATGACATCTGACGGCAAACCCATAGAGACTTGCCTTCAGTTTCTTCTGAATCGTCACTTGAAGTGACGTAACGTTGGATTCAATTGTAAATATTGTCACCGAAACCAGTATTGAGGCACCAAATCAAGCCATCATTTGATCCACTCTTGTGTCCCAATTGATCCCAACACTCGTCACTCGTATTCGCGACAAACATATCGTTGTAATCGTCGCTGAAATCCATTTCCTGCGCGAGTCGTATGTCTTAAGCAAATTGGACACCAAATGGACAGTCAATACAACACACGATCGCCAGGTTTGACACAACCGTCGAGTATGACATACGTGCGATCACTAACCGCCTGTCCATCTGTCTGTCCCCTCCCGTAGCCGTCAAACGTCTGTACAGAGAGGCCAAAGAGCTGCTCAACGATCGGACCGCAGAGTATTTCGCACAACCATTAGATGTAAGTCCTGTCCATCTGTTTATGTCCACCAATGATCTCATCGTATGTATGCATATGTCTGCGAACTGATCCACGATTAGGACAATCTGTTTGAATGGCACTTCACGGTGAGAGGACCTCCTGATAGTGACTTCTTCGGCGGTGTATATCACGGGCGTATAATACTGCCGACGGAGTACCCCATGAAACCCCCGTCTATTATAATGCTTACACCGAACGGACATGGCACTTCACGGTGAGAGGACCTCCTGATAGTGACTTCTTCGGCGGTGTATATCACGGGCGTATAATACTGCCGACGGAGTACCCCATGAAACCCCCGTCTATTATAATGCTTACACCGAACGGACGCTTCGAAGTGAATAAGAAGATATGTCTGAGTATATCAGGACACCATCCGGAGTCGTGGCAGCCCTCCTGGTCCATACGCACCGCACTCTTAGCCATCATAGGCTTTATGCCCACTGAAGGCTTGGGTGCCATCGGATCACTCGGTGAGTGTGCGTTCAGTCGTGGGATTGGTGTGTGATTTGTGGTCTGTTTTGTGGATCTAATGGTGCGATTGGTTTGCAGACTATCCGCCGGAGGAGAGGAAGTCGTTGGCCCAGAAGTCGCAGAACTGGTGCTGTCCTTCTTGCGGACAAATCACGAAACTCTTGAAGACTGAGGACTCGAATCACACGGAAAGCGAAGCCAACAAAGAGGCCAAAGAATTGGCAAAACAAATCTGTTTTAAAGTATGCTTTCTATTGATTGCTTGTGTTTATTGGTCTCATTTTTGTGATAAACTTGTCATTTGTTTAGCAAAAGGAATCGACTTCTGAGTCGACGAACGACGAGTCGGTCGCGTCAGCGGTTCCGGAGCCGAACGCCAGCACCGAATCGACCGAATCTAATGCCCAGTCGACCGATGAGGCCGTGTCTGAAACGGAACTGATCCACAGAAACGTGAATCCAACGCATTCCGCGTCAGAGGCGCCCACTGTTACCATCAACGCCACCATCACTGCGAACGTGAACCTGGAGTCCGACTCCCGTCTCACCAACTATTTGATTGCATTCATATGCCTCGCAATCGCTTTCTTGTTATTCAGACGTATATTTCTGTTATAAAAATGTATTTGTTTTTTGGTTATCATTTTTGTATTTTAAAAGACTTCTTTGATTTTAAAACCGGTTCTCATAACGAAAGCAACAGTTTTTGAACATTGAGTTCAAGTAATTTATATGAGATATGTATCGATAGACTAAACTGTTTTTATCGCATAAACGGAGATAATATTGACAACAACCAAATTTTTACACCAATTATTAGATATGTAATTAAAAAGTAATATTTTAGCACAAAATCGGAAAGTTTTGACTCGAGTTAATCGGTTTGCAAAACAGTTGTGAGAAATGACTAAATTTACTATTTTTAAAAATAAATTATTTTTGTTTTTCTTATTTGAATATTTTTATGAATAAAATTTGTATTAAAAATGAATTCAAACCAAAACTCAGTATTAAGTTATCACTGAATATAAAACTATTAAATAAGGATTGGATTTATAATTGAATGAATTATTGATTTAAAATTTAAAAAACAAATCAAATTACAATACATTTACAGTAATATCTGTATAATTTATTATTTATAAAATAGTAAAACTAATTTTCAATAAATTTTAATAATTTACACTATAATTTCATAGTGTAATTTAGTGCTAAATTAAATTATTATTTAATATCAACTGAAAGTATTGTTTAAGATTTTGAATGAGATATAAATTCCTGAAATTCTCGTTCAAATTCTTATGAGGAATTTATTGAAATTTTTGGGCAATCCGTCAACTAATAGACAGACAAATCATATCTGATCTCATTCTTAGCTAAAGCCCTAAAAACTAAAATAAAACACAAAATCTATTTTTAAACACCGATTCCATAATGAAATGTTTTGTCTCACAAACTTTTTATGATACAGTAATCAAATAAACACTCAAAATGTGCAAACATTTTAATCTATTACTCTATTATATACTATTTTATAATCCATTAAATTTGATCACCGCTTCAAATACATCGCAAACACAAATCGATTCAAGTGTTGAGACAAATGCCAATTCTGATGGACTACTCATCAAAGGTTTTATGCAGAAAATCAGTCAAAGAATCGCGATTCTGGAGAACAACTCTCAGACACAGATCAGTGTCCTCAACGATATGAGCCGTGTCTTGAATCGCCTCGAGAGTCAGCGACAGGACATCATCTCAACCATCGATCGCTCCGAAGTCCGCATATCTCACAGACTCGACGACATTAAGGGAGACTTAGGAAAGACGATAACACTTCAAGAAGTGATCCGCGAAGACATCAATAAGTTAGAGCAGCAGCACATCCTTAACAAGATGTGGATATCGGAACAGTTGCGGACAATCGGTAAACGAAACGTCAATTTAGACGAAAGCGACACAAAGCCGTCGCTTAATATCGTGAGCGCAGACATCGAGGCCAACCTACAGATGGTTCAGACGACACTCTATAGTCTCAAGCGATCGACAAATCAAATCGAGGAGCAGATCACAGACCTGTCTAACAACGTGTCCGGACTTATGAACGAAACCAATTCCATCGCCAACTCGTCGAAAGGTTATGTCGAAAGCAAATCATTCAATAAAGCGATTCGTAATGTGATGGAAGGCATGAAGAAATTGGAAAAACCAAACGTTTTCATCAGGACTTCCACTCCGGAAGCGAATGGAAGTTATGTTTTCGCCAAAGATTGCAAAGAGATTCAAGACAAACAAAGTTTGAAAAACTTAAGTGGAGTCTATCGGATCAAACCTACCGGTGCCGAAGAACCCATATTCGTGTTCTGCGATATGGATACAGACGGCGGCGGATGGACTTTGATTCAGAGCCGACACGACGGCGCCGTCGACTTCTTCCGCGATTGGTATGAATACAAGTATGGCTTCGGGAATATCGCCACTGAGTTCTGGTTGGGTTTGGATCACATCCATCGCATCACTTTAGTCTTATATATGCTTGAAGCGTAGCTAAACCTCCTGAAGCTCCTTCTGTTCCGAAAACGGTTTATATTGCGGAAGCGACAGCCGAGCCTCCGGCTCTTGATATACTAATTTCACAACCCGCGAATCGAGGTATGGCTTGCCTTAGGTTTAAATCATGTTTACTATATTATAAAATACTTATTAGTTTACAAATGTTCAGGATCATAAATGTTGAAAAACAATTCATTAAATATATTGACACAAACCTTAATACTTGGTCATTAGGGTGATGCTGGTGATGCCATGACTTACCACATATCCATGCAGTTCTCAACTAAAGACAATGATAACGATAGATGGGATGGCAATAACTGTGCCTCTGAACACACGGGTGGATGGTGGTACAACCAGTGCGAGTCGGCTAATCTTAATGGACAATATTTGGCCGGATTATCACCTCAAGAATACAAAGGCATTTATTGGTCTGAATGGCAGGGACCCAGTTATTCACTCAAGAAGGTTCAGATGAAACTCAGACCATCTATTAATCATAATTAAAGATATTCTGTATATTTTATATAACCTTTTAATTCATAAGTTATTTTATATTAATCAAACTTATTGAAATTAAAATTTTAATGTAAATATATTAATTGAATATACAAAATTAGTATAAAACTTTTATTTTCTTTTTATATTAGTGCCTATCTATGAATTGTCAATATATCTAGGCCATTTATGTGTTATTATTACTTAAACATGGTTATACTGTACTATAGTTATATAATATTTAGAATCTATCACAGAATTAACACTCATTATTAAAAATGCTTGAATATTTTTGTAAATTATAAATAATAAAACAATTATAAGTTACATATCATTCCCATAAAACAATATAAAAAGAATCCTGGTCATAAACCGCTAAAGATAACAGAATTAAATTCTATGAAAGTTTTGTCACTGTCTTGACTGACTCTACGGAAAGATAGCGGTAGTCTCCCCATAGAGTCTCTATTGAAAGCATGCATTCAATGTAAACAATAGTTTAAATGCCTTTGCGTTTCAAGTGAGAGACACGTGTTGTTGCAGTCTTTGCATCACTGGATCTGTCATCCACTCCAAGACATGTCTGGCGACCACATTATCGACGGTGAGGACCACTTAGACGAGGGATGGGATCTGTTCGCCAGGTTTACCATCGCATTGAAGGCCAAACTCAAAGCCATCGGCGGTTTCGACGAAAATGGTTTCGTAAATGAATTCAATTCATTGAAAGACAACCGAAAACGGGTTGAGTTTTGTCTCAACGATAGTCATGTCTTGGAGGCCATCACACAGTTGTACGAAGACATGAGTGGCGCCAATGCCGTCAACGATGACCACAACAAGAGTCTTAGCAAAGCGATGGTAATGCGGACCAAAGGCAATGATAGCTTCACGAGTGGTGTCTTTTCCGAAGCCATTCAACACTATTCAGAGGCCATCTGTTTGTCTCCCATACCATCCGATGAGTCGTCTCCCGAGGAATGGACTCATCTGTCGCTGTCTTTCGCCGATCGCTCGCAAGTGTTGTTCAGAGTCGAGGAATACGAGTCGTGTGTCGAAGACATCGACGATTCGCTTCGTTATAAATGTCCGGAAGACAGGAGACATGAGATCCTCTTAAGGAAAGCCAAATGCTTGACATCGCTGGCGAAGAAGCAATCGGCGCTGGAAGTGATCAATGGTTTGAAACGAGATTTACGTGAAAACAATGCCAACATAAACGCCAAAGAAGTTGAGTCAGAGTTGGAGAAACTGATGATTGAGTTAAGTTTGGAGTCAAACGAGACAAATGGTGACAATTCAGACAATTGTGAGGCCATGGAGTCCGGGTCGGCGGACGACACGATTGCTAACATAAATCCATTGCTGACCAACGCATCCGATTTGATCGCAATGTCTTACACGGAAAGTAAGGGCCGTTTGATAACAGCCGTCAAAGACATCAAGTTTGGCGACACTCTTATAGTGGAGAAGCCGTTCGCCACTTATCTTTATGGCGAAAAATATGGCTCTTATTGCCACTACTGTTTGGTCTCTTTAGACAACAGATTTGTTCCCTGTTTTGGTTGCAATCAAATGATATATTGCGGCGATTCTTGTCGCGAAAAGTCTTGGGATGAATACCACTCATCCGAATGCAAGACATTGTTCTTCCTCTCGAAAGAGATCGGCATTTCTTATATAGTGTTAAGGATTCTGTTGAGGACTGGAATCCAAGCGGCCATCAAATTATCAAAAGAGATGTCCAAGAATTTAAGTGATTATAACAAATGTGATGTTTTGTATTCGTGCGACTATTCCTCTGTGTATCAACTGCTCGACCATCAAAACGATCACAATTTAGATTCAATGCTCAGCTATAGTTTGACTGCAATTTTTATACTTCAATCACTGGAAAGACATTCACATATTAGTAGACAAGATCCGGATTACATCCATTTGGGAGAACTGATTCTTAAGCACATTCAACAGTTGTCCACAAATCTGATCAGTGTTTTGGACCAGAATTTTGGCGAAGAAATGAATAAATTTGGTTTAGATGTCAATGAAGATATCATTGGAACCGCTTTATATCCGACTATATGTATGCTTAACCATAGCTGCGACCCAAACATATTGACTCTGTTTAACGGGTCTCAGATGACCATCAAATCTGCCAGAAGTATACGGAATGCCGAAGAAATCAATTACTGTTACGGACCTAACTTTCAGCGAATGAGCCGTCGGGACAGACAGACTAAACTCATGTCTCAGTACTACTTCGAGTGCCAGTGCCTCGTCTGCGCCAACGGTAAGGAAAACCTAACGCGAGCCCTACTGTGCCCTCAATGTAACGGCGCTGTCATTCATAACGAAGACTTTACGAGCGAATGTCTCAACTGTAAGAGTAGTTCGTTAGACATCCGCAAAGCCATCGCTAACGTGGAGAATGGGCTGCAGTTCTCTGCGAAAGGGATTGACTTTTTAAACGACAAGAAACTGAGCGAAGCGTTGATTAGTTTACACAAAGCTGACGAACTGCTCACTTATAACCTCTACATCCAGAACCGACTGTTGTGTAAGAGTAAGGACGACCTGTGCCGGTGCTACGCCCTCATGGGTCACTTCGACCGGGCGGTCAGGTATTGCGAGCAAAGTGTGAAAATAACTGCTTTGATATTCAAAGAGCAAAGCACTGAACTATTGATGGAATTAATGAAATTAATTAGTCTTAAGTGGGAAGTGGTCGACGAGACCGAAGATGTGAGCAGTAAAAAGGTTTTGGCGAATGAGTTGTTAGATGTCATGACAAGGGCTGACAGTATAGCGAGTAAATTGAAGGCAACTGAAGGCTTTGAAAACGCATTTCAATCAGAACTTCAATACCTGAATGAGAAGCGACTGTCTGTTCAACAGTTATTAAACCCTTAAGACCTTTATGTGAGTCTTATATAAGGCTCACAAACAGGTATTGTATTGAGATTCTGAATAATGCATAAGAAATTGAAATCTGTTTTAATACCTGATATACTGTACGCCTGACAGCTATTAACTTATATGCCTTAAAATAAGAGCCTGTATTTTCGTATGACCCAAAAAACTGATGAATAAATTTAAAAATATAATTTCATTGTTTGCTATTTCTTTGATGCTATCAATCATTTTCTATTAAACCGTTAATAAAGGGCTAATTTAGTGACTGTGGCTTCAAATCCATCAAATCTCATCGCTATTTACTTTTATTGAGTTGTTATTCAACAAAACTAAAGTTTTTTTAATAAAATGATTGAAATTGAATTACTGGAAACGTAATCGCCGGTGAAAACCTAATTAAGATTAATGAAATTCAAATATATTTTATTTAATTAATGCATTCGTGAGAAATACTGTATCTCCAAAGATTATACTATGATTGCATTAATGGGTACATTCAGTTTATCATAACGTTACTGTATTTTAATATAAATCGCTTGCGATGTGTGTGTTATTCGCTTAATTAGAGAATAATACCACAGAATCAGTCAATATCTTAATATTGAAACATTGAACTTCACATTGATTTCATATGATTTATTGCCTTTAATTCCTAAACCAAATATTAGTGTCGCGACTCCAGGTATCAGATAACAAAACTTTTTTAACAAAATTACTATTAATACTTGCAAAGCATTTGTTAATCACAAAACTTCTCACTTCTAGTCAATTGTACATAAAGAAAATAATCCCGTAATTAAAGCACAAAAATGATCTCTTCATTGAAATCAGTTGTGATTTTATTGACTGCTCTACAGTTATGTATAGTAAGATGTGTTTGTATGGACTCATCGATGACTACCACGGAGGAGCCGTACAAGTCCTGTAAGGATGACTTAGAATGCAGCAAGGACAAAGAGTTTTGTGTGTCCAATGTGTGTACCTGTTATAACAATTACCGCTTAGAAAACGACACTTGTGTTCACTTTTACTGTAAGAAAGACTCCGATTGTCAGATCTATGACTCGGACCGTGTCTGCGATTCCTCCGGGATCTGTGTTTGCAGTGATGACTACCAGGAGAGCAAAGACAACCGGATGTGTCGCTACTATAAGAATAAGCAAATGCTGTGGCTATTGGTGTTGGCTGTACTCCCATTAGCACTGGTGCTCATGTCGTGCTACTACTGCTACAAATCGGCCAAAACCAAGACCGATGTGTCCGACGATATTCAGGCGGAGTCGCAGAGCCCGCAAACGCCGACAACACCCCAAACGCCGCAAATTATTATAACTGATTTACAGACTCTCCAATCGTATCCTGATTTGGAAAAGTTTTTTATGAGTTCACCAAAACTGCAACGATTTGAGAGTAATGGCAGTACTAAAAGTAATACCACCGGTATTAATAGTATTTGTTGAACTCAACTGGCAGTAAAGTTTTTTTGTGAGATTTTATTTTATACCTAATTTAGTAATCACTCATTCGATGCAATAATAAAAATTAGTCTTTTGGCTCAATTTGTATATAAATTGTATTTATAAAATATATCGTAAGAACTTCTCTAAATGTTTGTATATTTTTGGTAAAAACTCGGCTAATGAAATGTTTTATGGATTTTAATTAAATGAAATCGTGTCTAAAATTTAATTGAAGTAATTTCAAGATTTATTTTTCAAATAAAGACATCAAAGGTTGACTTTAATTAAATAATTGCTGTAATCATACAATTATGTCATTATATTATACGTCATGTACCTGTTAATCATTTTCAAAGAAAAACAAAAATCAATAATTAAGGGATTAAACCATAATTTGCGAAAAGAGATACAGAATATACAGTATGATAGTACAGTATAACAACAGTTATTATATGTTATGAATTCTGTGTCTCTATGACTACACCTACTATGCATTTGGCAACAAATACTTTTATCAATTATTCTTTCGGTGACTAATTGCTGAAGAATTATCTCTAAAATGGACGGCAGTTCGAGGATACTATCGTCCAGAGTTGGACAGAGGCCTATGACTAGCAGACCCCTGACAGGTGCCGCCCGACCCCTCACATCGACGGGACTAATGGCTCCCAAGACATCCCGGGGTAAATCAGGTATCAGGCGACAGGTCCAGGACAAGAGTTACTTCATTACTCTGTTGCGGACAAAGATTAACGAATTGAGTGCAGAAATGGCTTCTCTAAGCAAAGAAAGCGAATCCA